AAAATTCTTGATAAATGTGCTGAAAGTTCTCAAACTTCTTAAGAAAATATACCTACTTAATACATAATTAATCACATAATTTGTGAATTGTGTCTTGTGTCATGTTTGATAACAATAATTATTCTAATTTGGGGTTTTCTGTGAAACTTCAACATACAATTATCATTAGGATTCTTTTTTTTTGATAATAAAATAAAATGGTGATTTTAGTTTAAGTATATTCCAGTACAACGCTACCTTTGCCTCCAAAAAAAATAACTATTGCTGCTAAGTTGCTTCCTGGTTCTCGGGCTCAATATTCGATATATCTTCGCCTTCAACAGCTTCCATAAATATATCTCTACTTTATGGCGTCATGTGATTTTATTGGTTAGGATCGTGCCTGAGAACGTGCTGAATATTCTCTATCGTGCTCATTGTGCTCCGAAGGTAATATTCAGCACGAAACTTTTTTTCGTGCGCGAACGTTCGCGAATGTTCTCGAAAGCACAATCAGAACGTTCCCTTGTTCACATCACTAACACTACCAAACCATACCTTATGAGTGACTCAACCAATGCCCCATATATCAATATAAGAAGTCTTTCACTTAAAATTTCTCTTATGACATAAAATTTATATATATACAAAGATAAGAACTGATGAAAAGTTGGGGGTGCTATAAATAATGGTGCTAACCGAGGTGTTTACTATTCACAGGTTAAAAATCCATCACCAGGCACCTTTTTAAACCCTTGTTACGGTTTTGTGTCTTAGTTTTCTGGTAGGTACTTTTGGCATAAATGATTTCATAGTATCACAGTTGAGTACCTAATAATTCAAATAATTAATATTACCTGGTTATTGACTCTTTGAAATAATTGAGAGTACAATTTAAATATAATCTCAACCTGAACTGTTTAAAAAAAAACAATAATAAATGCATTGCATTCAGTGTGTAAGTACATAAGTTTATCCTCCATCCTGTAGCAAGAGAAAAGTACCCATAGGTACTACAAACAGAGCTCCCAATCAGACATAAGCTTATCTAAATTAAAATGTTAAATCTTCATAATTTGATGCTTTTTTTTATGGAATTAGGAATTTAAAAAAATCGTTCTAATTCGTTCAGGATCAGTGTTTGGGGTCATGTATCAAGTTAGCGCTATTTTCTCATGTCCATCATCTCAGCAAAACAACTTTGGCAAATTGCTCTTAAACCATGAATTTGCCGCTAAAGCGTCAAGTTAGCCAGACTACATCACTAAAAATACCGTCAATGAAATAATTAATGAGTGAAAATTTGACGCTTTTTTGCCAGTCATTTATTGCGAAAAATATTGTCCTTGGATTGGTCCCTTTTTTTCCATAAAAATACCACCTTTGAAATAGAAAAATCATGGGTTTTGCTAACTTGGCGGCAAGTTAACAAGAAAACATGGCAAAAGAAAATTGAATGCGTTTAATCATAAACTATTGAGCGAGCTATTAAGTAAGTGAAAATTTGCGTTTTTTTTAGCCCCCAATTAGTTGTGTAGACTAAGATTTTTTGGCGGTTATTTATAAAAAAAAATAAAATAAATTTCGGCAAGTTAGTAAGACATCAATAAAAATAACTGCTGCAAAAAAATTGAATGAGTTTTTTTGCCGCTAATTAGTTAGTGAAGCCACATTCATATAATTCAGTAGTACTGGCAAATGGAATGAAAGCTACTCCTAAAAAAGTTGACACTGCTCAGGCTTCAGCTTAGCAAGGTTTGGCATGAAGAATGATGTTGAATCTCGAAGACAGGTGTTGTTATAGTATAGTCAATAGAGAACCACTGGAATTTCATCTCATCATAGTAATTTGAATGTGAAAATTTAAATTTCGCGCTTCTTGTTGGTCAATTTGACGTTAGACTTAGATTGAGAGGAAGAGAAGATTGTGGGTGGTTAAAACGGGTCTTCAAAAAAAGCAAATCAAAGATGGCTATGATTTTTTAAATGTACGTCCTAGCAATATTTTTCTTCAATTTTGTCATTGAATTTTGTGCCAAAATGTCATGTCAAAAATCCTGATCAAGCCGATTAAACGCGATGGAATATAAATAACCGAGTCAAAAATGTTAGTACCATTCACGTAAACGCGGTTTTGGTTATTTTTGATCATTTCGTAGTGACGTCATTATTTGGCCCTTTGTGAGGTATTAAATCAGCTGTTTTTATCTTTGGTTCAACTATTTTTGGCATTTTTAACCTACCTTTGGAGCTAGGTTATTATGTTCTGTCCTTGTCTTAGAAAGTAAATAAAGGAGAAATACCCGAAATGGCGGATTTTGACGGTTTTTCGTTGTTTTGTTGTATTTTTTTCTGCAAGAACTCCAAAAAATGAACTTCGTTCATCTAATGTATTGTCAGCCAATTAATTTATTTTTATAGAATTTAATTGATTTCGATCCAATAAATATTTTCCCAGAAAAGAAATTATTCTTTTAAAATCCATGTTCTAAAAATCTCGAGAAATATCTTTTTGAGGATTTGATATAGGTCAACACAAAACTAAACACTAAAACTTAACCAAATAATAGAAATAATAATTAATTCTTTAGGGAAAAATTCAACGAAAAACAATCACAAGACAGAACATAACGGAATTAACAAAAAATATGGGGTTAACGGAATAACCATAGCATAAACGCGAGCTCTCTCAGGTTAATCAAAAAGGGTCGACAATCGCTGTTTCAAGGATAACCGAGGACTGACCAAAGATAATATAACCGCGGTTATCAATATTCCATCGCGTTTAATCGGCTCCAATAAAAAAAAAAATGCGACATAGGTTTTCGTAATCAAAGCCCTCTTTGTTGTTGTTTATAATTAGTTCAAGGATTAGACTATATATATATATTTATTTTGCGTTTGTGAGAAACTATAAATAGGGAGATAAAAATCTATTGGATAAGGAGTATCAAGAGTAAAAAAAAGTGAAAATCTATTTCAAAGAAGTCTCATCTTCCTACACATATTTATGTAATATTTTAGATATTGGATTGCTATGTGGGTACCTACAATCACCAAAGAATATACCTATTGAGGAATGGAATACCTATGTATATTATCTCCTTATTTGCCGGAGCTCAAATTTCTGCTAATAAGAAAAATAAAATGCATGCCTAATTTATATATCCTTGCAATTTACCACCCAGTGCATGTCGTTGTTATTGTACTATTCAATTATAATATTGGCACGTTTCTCAATCAACTGGCAGCAATAAAATTTGATTAACTCGATTCGTTTTGTGCAAAAATGATGGTTTTCCAAGTTGATTTTATTGCTTTTTAGCTATAAAATATGTTATTTTGTTTCATGCGCGGTTTATTGCTCATTTGTTCTTTTTCCTCATAAACTTGGTCCCATTTCATTTGTTTCCAAGTTGTTTTTTAATTGTCAAATACTAAAAACAAAATCTCTGGGTAATACTGACCTCGATCTATTTTTTGATGATCTCATACCAATGTACATACATACGTCTTGTGATCCATTTTAAATATTTTGAAGTTATAGTTTTTAGTTCTAAATTAAAATGCTTGCAAAAAAAAAAGCAAAAAGTATTTCACGCAATCCTTGATGACTGGTGGTAGAATATGAGGTGTAGAATACTTGAATATTATTCATAAGTCATTCAGATAATAAAATTGTAATTTGTACTTAAGTATTTCCCTCGGTATTTCCCTAAAATAAAAACCGTTGTATAAAATAATTTTCTGATGACATAAACTTTTGCTGATTGCAAACTAAAATACACTCGAAAATACATAACTAATCTAAACAGCGATTATACTTATTTATGAATATCAGGTTTTTCTGTAATCAGTTTCAAAAATTATTTTCCACGATTCTCGCTGACTGCGACTTTTGTCCAGACTTTCGCTGACTATTTTAAAACAACGGCAATTTGTGAGTTGTTGGTTTCCGTTTAAACATACCTACCAAACAAAAAAGAAATTACGCTGACATGTTATTGACCTCTATCTGGCATTCGTGAGAAATGAATATGCAATAGTAATGACCAAACATTTCTTGAAGTAGGTAATGTTATTCACCTATGACTCAACATGATTCAATGGTACCTTCGATTTTTCGGCGGGGTTCAATTTAATACCTGTTTGACCTTCAGAAAAAATTACTGTTCCTGGGCATTTGAACTTTAACTTATCTGACTTTGAGAGTTTCAAAATAACTTTACGCATTCTTTTGGTGCATTGATCTACAAAATGTATATGACATATGGTAGGTACTTATGGTACCTAGTAATACACAGTGCACACAATAATAGTATATTACATACCGAGTAGGGAAGTGTTTCATTACTGTTGAGAGATTGACTATTAATCTCGAGACAGAAATGAAAACTCTCCTCCGAGGTTTGTATACTATTTTATTTGCAAGCACACCATTAATTATGATTAGTCATTCAATTTTTTTAATATTAAAAAAATAAAACAAACATGCCAAAATCTGTCATTCACCTGTTTTGACGTTTTTACCTGACATGTTCTCATTGTTGCCCGCAAAGGTAAATAAATTAGAGTGAGGGAAATCTGTGAGGGAAGTCAAATAGGGAAATCGGCGAGGGAAATCGAAGAGGGAAGTGACACAGGTAAAGTGTCACTTTCAAATTTTTAAAAAGTCAGTAATGTCGAGATTACATATATGGTTGCAAATAAAAATAATTTTTCTTCCTTTTTTGAAGAATTAATTAGATGGTCCATGGTGACCACATGTTGTCTACATTTTTTTTATTGATTGAATCCAAGATTAAATCAGTTTTCTATTCTTGGGTTTGCAAGTTTGATTAAATGTTTTAGCTTCTGAAAATCAAATTTGCAAATGTACTGCATGAGGTACTGCAGTTATCTGCTATTTAGAACCATAATTTCCAATGACATGATATGATTTTATCAGTATTTTATATTTTATACCTATACCATATTGTATATTATTTATATTTTCAATTTATTCCTTCTTCCTGTTATAGGACAAACATGATGGAGCACTCGAGATTGTGGAAACCATTAGGTAAGTCGATAAAATTGGACCTACATAATTTATTTCATTTACAATATATCAAGCAATATACCTACCTTGACACTTTTTTTTGTCTTCTGACCAAATCGAGATTATTCAACCCTCGATTAAACCAAATTTGGTCCATGAGTCCTTTTTATACTAATAGCAAGTATACAGGGTGGGGCACGAAAAACTTCCCACCCAGGTTTTCTCAGGTGTTAGGTGATTAATCAAAAATCGCTCGGAATTTTTGTTTTTTGGGGGACACATTTTAGTGGTATTTTCACTCCCTACCTGTCAACCCCTGAGTGGGGGTGACAAGTACCCCCAAAATTTCTTATGGAAAGGGGGGTCAAGTGATATGTCATTTGATAGCTATTTTTATTAAGATTATATCCTCGAAGTTTCGGGTTGCTACTGTTTATCCTGCCGAAATGGCGGCTTGTCAAAGTTAAGAAAAATGCTTGTTTAGATTATCTGAACTGTGAGTTTTTTACCTCATAATAATAAAACAACGGATTTTTTAATAAAAAGTAATAAAATAACATTGTTATTTAATTTAAGTATTGTTATTTAACACTTCTGTTTGAAATGGTTCATGTTTATTCACTTGAAAAATCTCTTGTTTTGGTATTATGAGGTGAAAACTGAACAACTTTGAAAATCCGCCATTTTGGCAGGGTAAATAGTAGCAACTTAAAAGTTCGAGGATAATCTTGATAAAAATAGCTATCGAATGATGTATCACTCGACCCCCCTTTCCATTTGAAATTTTGTGGGTACCGGTCACCCCCGGTTAGGGGTTGTAGACTGGTAGGGAATGAAAATACCAATAAAATCTGTTCCCCATAAAACAAAAATCGACGTGTCTGAACCATTTTTGATTAATCACCTAATCACCTGAGAAAATCTGGGTGGCAAGTTTTTCGTGCCCCACCCTGTATAAGTTGCCATGTTGCCATACAGTAAAAGTATAAAACATTGCAAGAAATCAGTGGCGGAGGTAGAGGGGTTCAGTATCGTTTAATTTTGATGAAAAAGAAGTACGGCCCTGTGCAATGTACAGGGTGATCTATTATAAATGTCACCCCCTCCTAACTTTTTTACTTGACGTTTTTGACACAGAAGTGTCACATACAAAAGTTTTCAGAAATTGTCAAACTAACTCAGTTTTAAGCATACAGGGTGCGTCAAAAAAGTGTAGCAGAGCGAAGTTGCATTTTTTTAAATGGAAAACCATGTATTCATCCAATCAGCAGTAGCGCCGGTCCTTGTTGTAAACCACTCATCTTGCCATCAGTGTTCGCTCTGGAGAATCTGTTGTGGGTGCAGGGTAATAGTTGGTAATTGAGACCAGTATAGAGTGCATGGGGATGTCCATGAATATGGGACTAGAAAGAAAAACCAGGAACTTTTTTATTATTTATGACTGGTGTGGACATTTTGTATGCTGACATGGATTAATTTGAATTCAAATTACTTTTGAACTTTTTGCAATTGTTTCAAACGCAGTGTCCATATTTTTAGAGAATCAAAATCCCTATCAAATTGCCCTTTTTAATTTTTCAAAAAAATTTTATTTATAGAAAAAGACTTGCAATGTGCTGTTGATGGAGTGCCAAGTGGAGTGCCTAGCATGCACAGCGCACTTTTTTGAGTTTATACCTTATTGTTTTTTAGTTCTCCTAAAACAAATTACGTTTTAATGAAGAAAACGCCTAAGGGCCAATTTATGGACCGACTGGTAAAGTTATTGGCACCTTTATCATGCTGGTGAAGCTGAAAATTGCATTTAATTTTTAGTTTTACCAGCTGTGTAAATTGGCCAGAGACGTTACCAGTCGGTGCATAATTTGGCTCTTACTAGCGGAAGAAGTCAGGAGGGTGATTTGGTTAACATTATTGAAAAGTGGCAAACTTTTTGTTTCCACTAATTTACGGTAATTATTCCCAGAATCGCTATTTTTATATATTCGAGATCACTAGCCCTTTTGTATGAGGAGTAATGCAAACTTTCATGACTGTCAAGTGAGCACCTGAAGTTACTTTTTAAAAAATGCTGATAATCCTGCAGCACCCTTTTTATACATTCAGAGGTTACCCTTAATAAATAGGAAGAATCCAAGGCGAAGAGTTATAATATAGGTATATTTATATTTGGAGCTGCGTCTTTCTTCACCACACTATCATAACAAGAGTCACTCACTGGTGAACAAGAGGGTCAACAAAATTACTCGCAAAATTAAGACGTGAGCGGGGTTCAAGGCAGAGTACCCGAGAAAGTACCTATAGGAAGGAAGGAATTCCTTTTCTATTGTACATATTTTATTTTTTACTTTTTTTTAACCTTTTCCCGTTAAACTTGTAAGATTTGTGTATACAAGAAATTAACTGAAGGCTATGAAAGGCCCTTGGCCGGCAGAGAACAGAACAAAAAGATTACTTAATCGAAATGTATTATCCAATAGGGTTATTATGAGCAATGTGCTGCACCTTGCATATCCGCCCCTCCCCTCACTACAATGTGTCAGTCACCGAAGGAAGATGAGGGGTTAAGGTCATTGTGGAGAAAAATCGATAAAGCACCCGCTTTCCGCTTCTCTGCCCTCTGTTTGGGTCCAAATCGTTGAGACAGCGATGTTGCCAGATTCCAGACAAATACAGGTTGTTGATAAAAGAAAGGGTTGGGTGGCCCCAAAGTGGGATGCTAATTTAAATAGAAATGGGGATGCTGGGCTAGGGTGAGCAATGTCAATAATTTACACTTGATCAGTGTTCTATTTTCTGCGGGATTTTGTTTGGGAAAAACAATTTTTTTTGGATAAAAACAAGCCATTTATATTTTCAAGGTTGGAAGGAGATATACCTATTGTATCTTATTTTCTCTCTAAGAAAATATTCAAAATGTTGGGGGAGGCCCTAGGTAAGACCGACGTCACCGACCCAAGTGATTTTTTTTAGTCAAACCTATCACATTTTTTGGTACCGACATCTGCATTCTTTCTATAATTGCCAAGGGTCATTCTTCGGTATTTTCCTTTTGGTCTCGGAAAATTAGCCGTACAATCCACATTATTATACCTAGCGTAGCAAATTCATAGAGGGATAGCCTTGGGGATAGCTCAAGCTCGGCTACCTATATCATTTATTTATAGGTGCATTTTTATTTCTAAGATTGTCGTTTTTCGAGTGTTAAATGAAAATCGGCTGTTATTTGTCTGGCCCTCGGCCTGGCCTTATCAGTTACTTACGGGTTAATGAAAAATGTGATGGAAAATAATTTGTTTATCTTTGATAGTTGATAGAATTGATAGAATGTGGGCCAAAAATAAATCAAAGAACGGAAGTGTGGGAATGGAGTAAATATTAAAATACGCACATTAGGTATTTATACTATGTATCTTGACACTCTTAATGCAAATATGATGTACTTTCAAATGCTGATATGTATGTGAATTGGCAGCAGATTTTTCCGTCAACCATAACCTACCTTAACGAAACTGGCTTATAATTAGAAATGTTAATTACAACACATTAAGAGTCAAGCGTCAATTTGCCATAGTCATTGAAAATAAGCGGAAATATTCAATTTGGGAATTTCTGCGTAATGCTGGGAATATCTGCCTATGTACTTGTGTTCTGATGTCCTTTTTTTACTTGAGTTGGTCAATGCTGACTAATGCAAACAATTTATTGGGAAATAGGTATCTCGGGAAATACCTCACCTCTACGGGAAAATTGTTTGTTGTTTTAATTATTTCTAAAAAAGCGTGTTTAAGATGAACGAAATGTAATCAAACTTGTAACTAATTACAGCTTAGAATAAATATATTATACGAAAATCCCCCAGTATTACATAATTGTTTTATTGGGTTCTCCTGATGGTTCTTGGAATCGATCCATGGGTCGGGCTACCTAGACGTTGATAACTAGCGACTTTTTTTTATTCAAGGTAGGTACCATGTTGAAAGTGACATTTTTTGAGAAACAATTCTAACAAAAAAAATACTGTGCTATATACAAGTTTGAACCCACCTACTCCAGCAATTAGTTCCCAGAGTAGAGGGTTTACTTTATAACTCATTCTATGATGCCCCTTTTGCCAGAAATATTCGAGACCTAAAGCAAATTCTTAGTTTTATTATTTCGCAAAAAAAAACCCACAAATGACTGCAGGTAGCGAGGGACCATGTACCCGTGCACGTACCCATCTGTTTGTTATGACTACAAATACCAAGACAAATACATAGGACATAGGAACAAAGAGAAACCCAGGAACCCTCATACCATTGCAACATCTGCGTTATTTTTATGATTTTATTTTCAATACTTATTGGTAGTGAAAAAAGTCAGAAAAAGAAAGCATTATTGTTGCTTTCCCAGATGATAGCACCTGTAGGGAACTTGAAGTAAAGATGAGTTTTGAAAACTTTTTATTTTTTGATAAATACTTATGTACCTATTTCTATTGTAAATCCGATCTAAACCTATATATATTTTCCCGACTATTTTCCAATGTGTTGCTATTTCAAGAATAAAGCTTTTCACTAAGAGATTCTTTGTAACTATTAACAATGTCAAAACTAAAAATTAGAAGTACTTAGGTACTAAAATGAAATAGGTTTTTGATAAATTTCATTGAATATGATGAGATGTGAACCATTAAAGGAATTCAGCAACAAAAAAATACATATTCCCAAAATGAATCCCAAAACCTTTGATTAAAGAGTCATCCAGAAATCTGGAGGCAAGGACGGCACAAGTGCGTCAACTGGGTTCTATGATAACACAGTAACCGGGACAGTAACTATTATTTGTCGTCTTCGTCGAGGTCTTTGTCTATCTAGCCAATGAGCTGTCTTTTCCGATTTTTTAGTAAGTTTGTTAGGCTCAGAGACTATTTTTTATTATTGGACTGAGTTTATACGTGGCGTTTCGGCCCAGCAATAAGAGGAAATTTTTAAGAAATTACTGGTGAGGGGAAGCTGGCTCCACTGACTCGATCATGA